TGTAACGCGACAGATTTTTGAACAGGGTTTTGTATAGTAAACTCTAGTTGAGGCTTTAATATAAATTACAGAAAAAAAAAAAAACTCATTTGAAGACTGTAAAGCATTCAGGTACCGCTGGAATTTGAAGTATGTGCATCAGTACCGGTAAGGCTAAGACAAACAATATTATGTGAAGGGGTATGCAAGTCATCGAGACCCTAGGGATTAATATACCTACCCCATGATGCATAGTTGATGTTTTTAATTAAATAAATCATGGTTTGTATATCTTGAGTGTATTTTGTATGTCTGCAGGAGTTGTTTAAGCCATTATTAATTTTTCCATCCAGTAGCCACTCCAGCTCGAAATCAAATGCATCAATCATTCAATACTGCTTGTGCATGCAAACAATATTGTGGCAGTGGAACCAATGGATGTCAACAACCAGCTCTGTCTCTTATACACATCTCTCTTCGGGAGGTGCATCAATAACAATTTACTAAGCAACCATTGCTTGCATTAACATTAACAAACAGTATATACTGTATTTACAAAAATAAGAAATTTATATGAATATGTTATAAATCATTATATATAGCTTTCTTATAAGAATAACAACTAAAGCATTCACAGAGGATTCCTGCAAGACACCTATACGATTCGTTTAGGAAATCTATAGGATAATAAAGATAATACTTATAGGATTCCTATATAATTCTTATAAAACACCCATACGAATCCTATGGAAACCATATAGGATTCTTATACGATATTTATAGGGACCCTGTATTATTCATATAAGACTTCTATAAGATTCCTTTAGGAAATATATAGGACTTCTTTAAGATTTCTTTAGAATTACTAAAAGAGTTCTATAGGATTCTTATAAGACGCCTATATGATCCCAGAAAGAAATCTGTAAAATTCCTATAAAATATCTATAAGATTCCTAAAAATATCTACAGGATTCCTATGTAATTCGTATAAGACTCCTATAAGATTTCTATAAGGTATCTATAACCTTCCTATATCATTCATATAAGACTCCTATAAGATTCCAATAAGATATAAAGATTCCTATAGATTTCATATAAGAAACCCATAGGATTCTTATAAGATACCTATATAATTCATATAAGATTCCTATAAGGTTCCTTTAGAAAATCTATGGGATTCCTATAGGATAACTATAAGATTCCTATTTGTTTCATTTAAAAATCTTGCAGTTTTCCTATAAGATTTCATTAAAATTCTTATAGGAAACATATTAAAATTCCTATAAGATACTTATACGACTCCTATATGATTCCTATAGGATTCCCAAAGGATATATATTGAAATAATCATATAGGATCCTATAGATGTGAAGAAAAATCTATAAGATTCCTATAGGATTTTCTCTTATAGGATCCTATAGGACATTTTTGTAAGGGAAAAGACACAGCAGAGAAGAATGAACACTGGAGATCCCGATCGGAACTCTCAGTATAGTATAGTCCTATAGTCGGATAGACTTAGGATAAATGTGGATTTTCTTCAGAAAGCTCTTGACTGGGAACCTTCCTGAATTAAAAAGGAAGAAGAATTACTACTCTTTTGGTTTCACTATTTTCTTGACTTGAATCAGAAGAACAGTTTGATTTGCTGTAACAAATACCGGTACCAAGTGCAACCAGACGATTGCAAGTGGAAGCGATTTTGGACAACTTCCTGAACTGAACTTTGTTATATCATTGGAACTCGCTGTTTTGCCGTATATTCTGAACTCTATTTTTGTTGGACTCCTTGCATTTATTATTATTTTACTTTCTACAAGCGTACGCTGCATTGCCGACGGTCTCACGTGAGTAGTATGTTAGGTTAGGTTAGGTCCAATTTATAAGTCCCTATTTGTAATCCCCATTGCCCAATAAATCATTATTAAGTATATAACTAGAAAAGGTTCCTCTTGTTTTATTTGTGGCCATATATGTAAACATCTACCGACTGAGCCTGCGCGTAACTGGAACCCGAGCCCCCACGACGAATTAAGTGACGGATTCGCTTACTTCAATGCCGTTGCTGTTGTTGTTGAGCAGGTAGATATACAAATCTAACAACATCACTGTTCTATTTAATAATAATGTATTATAAGATTTTAAGGTAAACTGTTTTGTATTCCATAGGCCTACCTGTTTATTTGGCTTACCTTTTTTTCTTAAACTGAATGTAATTGATTTGCTATATTTTCCGTTTTTTCCCACAAAGTATTCGTTTTCAGCTCTACAACTATAGTTCCCTGCATCACGTTGATCAATTTTTTTTATTTCTAATATTTTATCGTTGACAATATATTTGCCAGAAGCACTGTCTATGACGTCACCACCAAGGAACCACGCGAGAAAAATCACTTTCGGAAACGACGACACAACTTTACATGACAGATACTCGCGTACCTTCAGGTATACGTGTGTCGGTTAGTGCCTGAATTTTAGGATTATCCAGATCTGTTGATAAAAACCGTAATCATTATGATAATGATTATTATAATCATGGAAGTGATGATAATGATAGTCCTGACAATGATGCTAATGACGATGATGATGATAAGTCTATTGTGGATGATGATAATAATGACGTCGATGACGGTGTTTTTTGTAAATTGTAAATGAAAAATCACAGTCGGCCAATAATCATAATATTAAATCCTTATTATTAAAGCAAATGATGATCCCTTACAGTTTACTGTTAATTTGCTGTCATCTGAATGAGGTACGGTTGATCCTGTAGACTGGTCGTTCACTCCGCATGTATAGAAACGCGAGTAGAAACAGGGCAATACGGCGCTGTCCCCTTCATTTACACGTAGGTTGTCTGCATCTGGCCATAATGCTCAGGCCCGCTATAAATCATGCATTAAACAAGCGATTAACATTGTAATTATTGTTATCATCATAATGATTATCATCATCATCATCATCATCATCGTCGTCGTCGTCACCATTATCATCATCATCATCATTACCATTATTAACATTATTTTTAGTGTACTGTGTGCGTTCTTTAATTTAACGTGTATATATTGTAACTTGTATTTCGGGCCTCTGAAAATATATTAGAGCAGTGGTGAATTTAAAAACTGTGACATCTGAAAAGATCTCTAACAGTGGGTCAGCGCAAAAGGAACAAGTGCCCAAAAAGACATAATATCATAAAATATTATTACATTGGACGATCGATTTAAGGCGTAAATTTTGATTGTTTATATGAAAATAAAGGCAGGTATAGTATCAATATAAAAAGTAGTTAAAAATCACCTAAAATCACCATATTTTGCAAATTAGCGCCCCCAACTGATCATCGAGCTCCCCTCCCCATCGCCC